AGACATGAATAACAGAAGAGCTCACTAAATGCAGGACAGTGTGACCTTGAAAGGTGATCGGATTCCTCAAACTCATCTGTCAGCACAGTTCTTCAGGAGCTCCTTATCAACAAATTTATCCTCGAACTGCTTTCCTAGCACATTGGATTTTTTTTTTAACCCATATTTTAGTTAATAGGACGCTAATACATTTCCGAAACCTCCCATATGTTCAGCAACTGCTGAAGCGATGGCACACATCTATCTCCTTCACTCTCTGGTTTCTGTAAAAGTGTACATACGTGTGTAGATACACTCCACTTTAGCCTTCCTCTACAAGAAGCACAATAAAGACAGCCTCTCATGACTATTACTCTCCTTTCCCGAAGCATATAGACATGGCTATGACTGTGTCACTGCTGCAGCCAAGAAAACAGAAACTAATCAACTCACTAAAACAAACACAATCTCTTGGTTTTAATCGTGCTGCATCTTGGAAGACCTTTGAACAGCAACAGTAAAATGATCTCAAAATGCACACGGGATTTTTATTTTTATTACGTTCACAATACGGCATATGATATCTCAATATATGATATGATAATATGATAAGGTAGAGTTTATTTGGAAAAGAAATAGCTTTTATTAGATGAAAACCTTACAATCTTTCCTCATTCTGAATGGGTGAAAGGTACAGAAGTATATGTTGTACTGAAGTTGAACTGGCCTTCCTCAAGCATCAAAATAACAGGGTCAAACTGCAATAGTAAGTTTCACTGCTCCTGAAACCAATCACAGACACACAGAGGACATCCCAAAAGTCTCAGAGCAAAGCACAGTTCCCAACACTCCTCCCAAGTGAGAGGGCAAAGACCTCACAGCTATAACCTTCACTGGCAAAACAGGATCTGCACTAAAATCTGAAGTGCTTAGGAGTTTCACACTCATGGTTTCACAAAGCAGCAGTACTTCTGAGAGAGAAGGGCAAGGAAGGGACCAGAAGATACTTGCCTCCTAAACGTAGGTATGAGAAAGATGAAGAGAACCTTTTTCCATAACCTGGAGTCATCACCTCTACTAGCTATTATTGCAAACAAATGCTACTACAAAACACATGAAGGGTTCTACCCAGAAAGCATTACCTACAGTCAGTGGCTGGCAGTAAATTCTGCACTGTAAGGTGTGCTTCATGAAAAACCATGATTATTGTTTGGCTGAAGAAGAACACTGCAAACTTCTTTCCCCTAATAACACAGAGAAGCAACCTCATGTCAAATTCCTACTCCAAGTCTCGAAGCAGACCTGAAAGACGTCAACAGTTCTACCCGCTAATATTATGCATGTAACATCTTTCTATCCATACATCACATGAAAGTGTGTGAGACACAGTCTGAGATTTCAAATAATACTTCCAAGTTCTCTTTGAATGAATCTTACTGAAGAACTGATGTGAAAATTGAAGAAAAATAAATAAATAAATAACACACAACATTTTTGCAATCTACAGTTGCATTTTTACACAGTTTTTCTTAAGACACTCTTAAGACAAAGACGTATGCCAAAACTTCTAATCTAGGCTTCTTGCAACATTCTCAAGAAGCAATTCAATTCTGAGCACTACATGTATTACTAGCAGGTGTTTTCACCAACAATTCTCCCTGCTGTGACCACCCAGAAAAAGATCACAAAAAGAGGGATATAAGGAGCTATCAACATTTCAAGTCAAGAAAGTAACACTTCAGCAGTTACCCAAAACAAAGAAAATTCTGAAAGAGGCTCCAGTTTGAACTGATTGTGACAAAAACAGGTTAGAGCTACAGCAGTAACTGACAGTCTGTGCAGAAACTCTCAACCCTGAAAAACTGGGGAAAAAATGAAATTACTTGTGGATCTCAAGACCAATTCTTTAGCGTGTTGGTCTTAAGAAAAGGTAAGAATATTTACTTTGGGGCCAAGAAGGGAAGTCCTGTTCACTGAGGAACAAGACGGCAGACTACTGCTTCAAACTCCTGATAGCAGTGTTATCACCTTAAAGGAAACTGGAACTTGGCATTGTGTTGCAAGAAAATGCTTGAACATAACACATAGGTTTGTCCTCTACATCTGGGAGTGCCGTAAGATCTCATGGAATTTGGGTCTCACTCTGCTTAGCGCTCTAAGACTACTCCAAGAGTGCTTGTAGCACAGACTTAAACAGGCTTGGGGTTCTTTTATTTTGTGAGAGCAGGGCCTCAATTTGTCCGTGAATGTTAATCTGAGCTAACACACAAGGGTGCATAGCAGTATTTACTCCATTCCATCCTGACCATGAGGTACACAAGTCTGAGGTCAGACAGGACCACTAGATCCTCAGAGCTAGGCAAGGCTGCTGTCACTGCAATTCTAGTCAAAGGAACAGAGCAACTATATCATCATATCCTCCCATATGTTAACATACGAAAATATAATGTTTTCTATATTCAGTATGTTAATAACATTAATAAGCATAGTATGGATTAAAATGCATTACATTAGAGAATTAATATGTATATACTCCTCTTCTGTACATAAAGCTGCTCAGTGAAAATGGTGATACAGTATAATTCCCTAATGGTAAATTAATTACAGTAATCAAAAAAGTACAACACCCACACATCACTGATCAGTGAAGTCAAGCAGTATTCCTAAAACTATAAACAGACAAAACTTCAATTCAATTACTCTTTTCTTTTATTATTATTATTTTAATTTGAATAGAATCATTGTGCTAATTCTCCAAATTAATTTTGGTGATTTCAAGACAGAAAGAAACAATTCTGTTTGGAAGTTACAAAACAAGGGAAGGTACTTGAAGCTTGCATTTAATACACAAGTTAAATGCCAGATACCACACCTAGACAAGCTTGAGCTAGTTACTGTCAGGTCAAAAACACTCCTTCCAGTTATTTTTCACTATGCTGAAGATACCAAGTTATGATCTTCAGTGGGGATATGCATTCCAAGTACCTAATTGGTATGAGAAATAGAGAAGAAAAAAAAAAAAGCATGCAACTAAACTGCGATGCCTACATTCAGCATCACCTGGTTGTATCACTGCTATCACAGAACATTAAAATTGTAAAAAAGGACTGTTTCAAATGAGGTCTTTTTCACAAGCACTGCAGCATTCCAGTTAAACAGTTAATAACCCTGACAAGAAATGCTAAGATTTTTAGAACACAAAAAGCAAAATGATTTATGATCATCTCATGACCACCTAAAGAGAGTCTATTTTAACACTTGCTACTAAAATCCCAGCATACGGCATTCCTTGTTCATTAGTGAGGAGATGAAGAGAACGCACCTCTGCTAGTGCTTCTTCTGCACCAGTAGAAATAAGCTCTGCTTCATCTCAGCCTACATCCCCTTTAATAGCACAGTTCCAGAGATTTGTAAAAGACATGACAAACCATAGTACAGTAATTAATACATTAGGACCTGCCATTAAAAAAAACATAACAAGTTCACAGTTGTTTTGAAGAGACCTTCTTGCATGTGACCAGTTTCCTAGATAGATTATTGCTCCTCATTACTGCACTTATATTTAATTCAGAGCTTCCTTGAAGCAAGGCAGGCTGTCAGATAATGTTCGGGCAAGAAAAAAAAAGAAGTTTTTCTTCTAAACAACATTAAAGCTATATGCTTTAATGATTCCCTTGTGCTTAGCATGAACCTCACAACACTCATCCCATTTCTTTTCCTCACTAAAAGAAACACTAAAAGAAGCACCTACCTTTAGCAAGCTATCCTGATGCTACAGCAAGTACCCCTGCAACAAAGCACTACTATTCAGTAGCTTGGTGCTATGACAGCAGTAGTTTTCTTCAGGGCAAATAGTCCTTTAACATAACAGGGCTTGGCAGCTCTCTGTTGCATCCCAGCACTGCGCAGGGAGGAGATGGCTTTGGCTGCAGGCAGTGACAGCTCTGGTGCCCCCAGGTCAGTGCAGCTGTGTGCATGTGACAGAGCTCTACACACCCCGCCAGGCTCCAATTGCCAACAGGTCGCATCAGAGGAAAGAAGGGAGCCCAGTCTGCTGCAAATGCCATGCACGAGTCCATTAATCTCAATGCGGAAATGTGGTACTTTGATGTTAGTCCCACCATCCCCAGAATAAAGCTGTTAGGGAAGCCGGGTCGGTACTCAGACTGCTTGTAAGACATTATTCTATGATACATACTGGCATTATCAAAAGAATGAATCCACTGGAAAAGGTCACCTTGCACCTGAATGTGTGACCAGCACAAACAGCGACCTTTAGAATGAGCAGTGCTGAGAGCAGTCAGCAGCTTCCGTGCAGGCTCTTAACTAAAGGAGAGAATCCAGGCAGTAAAAGCAAACCCTACACCAGCTAAATAAATACAACTGTTAAGACAAAAAGCTGCACCCAGTCGCTCTAGGTCTAACGCACTTCCCAAAGGGCCTCTGCTCCTCGGTGAGCCCGGGCCGTCGGCTCGCCTCCTGCCCCTCTGCTGCCCCACGCACGTGACCGTCCCCGGGACTGCCTGCGCAGGGAAACGCCGACAGCTGCCCTCCGTGCCCCTCTTAGGGGAAATAGCAACTTTCTTTCGCTTCTCTTTTTCTTAACTCGCACAACTCACAACCCGAGAGCTTCGAAGGCACGAGCGTCAGCCAAGTAGCGATCAGCATCTAAAGAGGGGTTTGGTCCGATTTTAGAATAAACGGCCGAGACACATGATCCAATTAAATTCTAATTATGTAAGTAGTAGGCAGGAGTATTTACACAGGCGCTGATTACGGCTATTAAAGTCTAAAGTCGGCGGCCGGGAGGCTCCGCTTCCTCCTTACCGTGCCGGCCGCGCCGCCTTAGCTTTGCTTTCAGTTTTCAGCCCCCACTTTCCAAAAACTCTTCACAAACACGGGGAGACGGCTGTCCCCCAGCGGCCCGTGCGGGCTCCGGCCTCGATGGGTACGGAGAGGTCGCCCCCAAAGCCCCCCCCAACCTCCTTCCCCGCGCCTCCCGCCCGCCGGGCCGCCCTTACCTCCGAACAGGTGCGGCGAGAGGTGCGCGGGCAGCGAGCCGATCACCAGCCGGGGCCCGCCGGCCGATCCACCGCCCCCCGCGGGCCGCTCCCGGCCGCCCTCCTCCGGGGTGCTGCTCACCGAGTCCTGCGAGCCGTAGGGGCCGCTGCTGTGGGGGATGTTGAAGGCGGACTGCGCGGAGCGGGCCGCCGCGGCGCCGGCACCTCCCATGGACCTGCTGCGGGGCGCAGTGCCCGCCGCGCTTCCCGCCGCCGCCGCCGCCGATCCGCCGGGAGCGCCGTGTGGCGCCGCCGCCAGGTGCGGGTAGCGCCCGCCCGCCGCCCGCCCGCCGGTCCCGTTAGCGCCGCCGCCGCTGGAGGAAGGTAAATCCCCGCCCGAGTACGCCCGGGTGCGGCCGTTGGCGGCGGTGGGGCTGCTCTGCTTCGCGCCCATGGTCCCGCTGCCCTTCTGAGGGGAAGGCGCCGGGCACGGGAACGCGTCGCTCGGTGCGTCGGTGCCGAGAGGAGAGAGCCGCCCGCCGCGATCCGGCTCAGCTGGCGGTCCCGGCG